GTCCACAGTGACCATGGCACAGGGTAGCAAGTATCCGCAGGTATGGATACAGAGAAAAGGGATCATTGAGAAGAGAGATTTAGCTCTTCTGAGGGCAGAGAGGGTTTACAGAGGTTATACTATTTGGCTAAACTTTGGAAGGTGACCGTACTTCCCAGTGGGGACAGTCCTGGGAGGGAGCATTTTAATGGTATAGAGAGGGGAATAAAGCCAGTATGAGTACATTAACGAGCAGGTGACTACTATGGACAACTGGGCCACAATCCAATTGGGGAGCTCTGGAACACAGTTCAGCATTACTCCACCAAGGAACAAGAAAGGTGGCACACTTAAACGCTAACTCCCATCCTTCACTATTTGGGCTAAGTCCCTGGTGCTTCTGGGTTGGCCTGTGTACAAGCCAAGCACACTCCGTGGGCACAGGTCATTCTCAGTGAGGATGTCTCAGGAACTGTTTGCAGGTGACCTCTGTGGTGGGTCATGGGGATACAGGCAGGGCACCAGTAACACCTGCTACAGGTAGCTTAGCATTTAACTAGACTAACCTACAGATCTGGCCCAGTAGCACTGACTCACATGTTAGGACTTACAGTTTGTATTGTTCTCCTGTGTCATAGTCATGTCCCTCCAACTGCAGTGCAAATTCTCTCAACAGCCAGCACTGCTGGGCATACCACAGGTGCTCATTACCACACACTGACAACCCGATGTAGAAGTGGCAGGTCAGTCCCCTTGACCTTCATCAAAGACTAGACCCAAGCCATCCCAAACTACGAAGAACCAACAGACCTCAGTGCAAAGCTGTTTAGGGAGACAGTGCCTATAACCACGTGGGCGATCCAGAACATCCTGTGATGCTTACAATTATGAGTTCCACCTTTATTTTTAATTCAGACTCACAACAACCAAGCAACTGAGGCCAGCACAGCAGGGAGGGTGAGAATGAATGCCACAGGCAGCATCTTCTAGAGGTTAAACATACAACCCTTGGAGCCAGATGGCCTGCAACTCTGCAGCCTTTCACGGTTGGACCTATGGTAAGTTGCTTACCTCCTCTGTGCCTCAGTTTCCTCGTCTGTAAAGTGAGCCAATAATAGTGCCTATTTCAAAGGGTTATCAAGTGAGCTTTAAATGACATAGCTTTTGTAAGGCCATTTGGAACAGTGGCTGGCATGTGCCCACTGCTGTCAAAGTAATATTATCGGCAGTTCTGAGAGACAGTTCTGAGAAACAGGTGATGCTGATGCTACTTGTCTGGGGACACACTTTGAGAACCACTGCTTGAAGAAAATCAATTCACCCGAGATCTAGAGCGAGGAATACATTCACCTGCCGTAAGTGACCACTCGGCTTTTCCCCTCTTCAGGTTTGTTTCGGATCTATGCCCTTTCTTATTTACCTGCCCCTGTTTTCATCATTTTAAAATATCATTTTCCCAAAAGACGCATTTCTAACGAACAGCTTTCGTCTTCGTGAATTTTTCCTCCCTGTGTTCAGCTTTCCTGCCTCATTCACCCTGTGATGGAAAAAGCTCCGCAGCGTGAGACTGAAGATCTAGTGTCTAGTCTGGGCTCCGCCACTTCCTAACCAATAACGTCCCTGGGGACATTTACTCATCAGTAAAGTGGGGACTTTCGATTTTTGCCCTGCCAATCCCACACTGGATGTCTGAATGCCCTAAGGAGATGACGTGGGAGAGCACAGTTTGTATGAATGTCACACAGCCACAACAACAGAATTTGGCTCCCAGGATGTATGTCAGGGGGAGTTTTCTCTCCCTAGTTCTCTGGCCGTGGTGCTCAGAGTGTAGTCCCGACACCAGCTGCACCAGCATCACCTGGGAGCTTGTTAGGAATGTCAGTTCTCAGGCCCTGCCCCAGACCTACTAAATCACAAACTCTGGGGGAAGGGCTTGGCAACTGGCACCTCAACGAGCCTGTCGGGTCATTCTGATGGACATTCAAGTTTAAGAACCCTGGTTTCACCGTTATAAGCAAAACATCTAGAGTCAGACCCCAGCTCTGCCATTTCCTAGGCACGAACAACTTTGGGCCACTTACTTGTCCCTTCAGCATCAGCTTCCTGGTCTAGAAGATGGGGACAAGACCAAGATCTTCCCTTCTGAGATTTGACTGAGAGGATTAAGAGACTGGACACAAGTAAAGCACGTAGGAACCTGGCACACTGTAAGCCATCGGCATGCATTTAGTTCTTAGCATTTCTTTATTTTACTTTTTTTTTGAGAGAGACTTTCAAGCTGTTACCCTCAGTAGAGTGCCATGATGTCACAGCTCACAGCAACCTCAAACTCTTGGGCTTAAGCAATTCTCTTGCCTCAGCCTCCCAAGCAGCTGGGACTACAGGTGCCTGCCACAAGGCCTGGATATTTTTTGGTTGTAGTTGTCACTGTTGCTGGCAGCTCCGGTGTATGTGGCTGGCACCTTAGCCGCTTGAGATATGGGTACCAAGCCATTTCTTTATTTTAAAGTACAATGGCTTTTTGACAACATGCCCCAATACAGCAGTTCTCAACCTGTGGGTCGCGACCCCTTTGTAACAATGAAAAGACATTGAGGCATTAGGAAGGTTGAGAATCACCACCACCCCAGTACCTACTTTTTGAAAGATTGCATATTCTGTTTTAGCTTGCTGGGAAGTTTTCCATGTAGACTCTGTGTGTGAACGTGTATTTGTATGTGTGTTTTATTTGTTTGTTTATATTGTTGCTCCTTGCTGCTGGCAGATTTTTATTTTATCTAATAAAGACTCCTTAGTCCTGCCACCTTCTCCTGAATAAGGAAGGTGTGTCTTTGATAAGGTCTTCTTCAGTAACATTCATCTTCTAGTCTTGTTCCTAACGAAATTTCTTACATCTGGTTTAGGCCCACAGAAATCGCAGGCCCAACATTGCTGGCCTTTTACTGCCTTGCTCAGGAACCTTTTCTCCTTGTTCGTAAGCTTTGAAAGATCTCCTTTTTTTTTTTTTTTTTTTTTTTTTGCAGTTTTTGGCCGGGGCTGGGTTTGAACCCGCCACCTCCGGCATATGGGGCCGGCACCCTACTCCTTTGAGCCACAGGTGCCATCCGGAAAGATCCCCTTTTCTAGAAATACTATGCTGCTTCATTTGGCTGATTCTGCACTGCCTTTAAATTTCTATATAGTATGGCCTTCAAGCAGATACTTTTAAAACAAACACTAGAAATAAACCCTCACCCACACGGTCAAATGATTTTTTTTTTTTTTTTGGAGACAGAGTCTCACTATGTCACCTGGGTAGAGTGCCATTGCATCACAGCTCACAGCAACCTCAAACTCTTGAGCTCAAGTGAGTCTCTTGCCTCAGCCTCCCAAGTAGCTGGGACTACAAGTGCCCACCACAAGCCTGGCTATTTTTTTGTTGCAGTTGTCATTGTTATTTAGCAGGTCAGGACCAGGCTTGAACACACCAGCCTTGGTATATGTGGCTGGTGCCCTACCCACTGAGCTATGGGTGCTGCCCCTGGTGAAATGACTTTTTTTTTTTTAAGGGTAGTTAAGTGAAGCAGTGGGAGTGGAGAAGGATGGACAAATGATTTCTGACACAGGTGTCGAGACCCTTCAATGGGGAAAGACTGTCTTTTCAACAAATGGTGCTGGGACAACTGGATATCCACATGCTCTTCACCTTGAACCATGTACAAAAATGAACTCTAACTGGATCAAATAACCTAAATATAAGACTTTAAACTATAAAGTTCTTAGAAGAAAACAGGGGAAAGTCTTCATGACATTGGATTTGGCAATTCTGGGGGGGCGATAACATCAAAATAAATTGGACTTGATTAAAATGTTATGCACAAAGGGCGGTGCCTGTGGCTAAAGGAGTAAGGCACTGGCCCCATATGCTAGAGGTGGCGGGTTCAAGCCCAGCCCCAGCCAAAAACTCCAAAAAAAAAAAAAGTTATGCATAAAATGACACTACGAAGAAAGTGAAAAACATCTCACCAAATGGAAGAAACTATTTGTAAGTTATATAGCTGATAAGGGATTAATATCCAGAGCGTATAAAGAACTCAAAAACTCAACAACAAAAAAAGACAACCCAACAAAAATAAGTAGAGGACCAAACATTTCTCCAAAGAAGATATACAAGTGGCCGCTAAACATGCAAAGATGCTCAACATCATTCATCATTAAGGAAATACAAATCAAAACCACAATGAGATACCCCTTCACACCCATTACCAAAACAACAGAAAATAACAAGTGTTGTCAAGGACATGGAGAAACTGGAAGCCTAGTGCCTTGCTTGTAGGAATGTAAAATGATGCAGCCGCTGTGGAAAGCAGTCTGGCAGCTCCTCAAGATGTTAAACACAGAGTTGTCATATGATCCAGCAATTCTACTCCTAGGTATGTCACTCAAAGGAAACGGTGACTCAAAGAGAGACCTAGACTCTGATGTTCATGGCAGCGTGATTCAGGACAGCCGAAAGGAGAAACCAACCATTCATCCAGCCATGGATGGATGGGCAAACAGAATGGTGTCTATACATACAGTGGAGTATTATTCAGCTTTAGAAAGGAACAAACTTCTGATGTGTGCTTCAATATTGATGAACATCAAAAACAAAGCCAAGGAAGTGAGACATAAAAGAACAAATATCATGTGACGCCACTTATACGAGGTACCTCGAACAGGCAAATGCATAGAGACAAAAAGAATAGAAGTTACCAGGAAGAGGAGGAAAAAGGAAACGAGGAGTTATTATTTATTGAGCACAGAGTTTTCTATTTGGGATGATGATAATGTTCTGCAAATGGATAGTGGCGATGGTTGCACAAAGCTATGGATGTATTTAAGGCCAAATAACTGTACACTTAAAAATAATCGGAAGGGTAAACATCATGTCTATTTTACCATAGTAAAAAAAGAAAATCCTAAGTAACAACATAATACACACACACACACACAGAAAAACAGGAAAAAAAAAAAAAAAAGAAGGAAAACAGGCACCTTACCTTCCAGGGATGTAACTGGAGCAACATGAAGACAAATAATAACAAGAAATATCTTGAAAGTCAGTAAAACTTCTTCAGGTCTGCCAACATGGCCAGACTGCCTGCCAGAGAAAACCATCCTGGAATAAAAAAAGGAGAAAACAGGTCATCACAACTGCCATGCGACACAGAAATGCCCAAAAGGTCTCCCCTCAACCAAGACAACTTGCAATCCCACTGCCTTTAAATCACTCTGATTCCAGAGACTCAGCAATGCCAGGTGGGCACTGGCTACAGAAAGCAAAACGCATGTTTATTATGGGAGGATCAGCCCCTAGGATAGTATATTAAAACGATAAGCAAAGTAATCCATGTAGATTTATGGACAACATGTTAAATGTCAAAAGAAAAACTAAAAACACAAATTGTTACAAACACAATTATAACCACTATATAAACTGCTTAAAGACTATGCTGAGAATCAGAAAAGGTCGTAGTTGCAGAATCTTTTAACTAACCCATCCTGATTTATTCTATTTTTTCTCTTTTGAAGTGTATTTTTTTAAAGAGATGGGTTCTCACTCTGTTGCCCAGGCTGGAGGGCAGTAGCGATTCACAGGTGTGAAAATAGCCCACTGCAGCCTCAAACTCCTGGGTTCAAATGATCCTCCCACCCAAGCCTCCCAAGTAGCTGGGACTATGGATGTGCAACACCGCGGCCAGCTCCTGTTTATGTTTTATGCCCTAAAGGTCCATCGTATTTCTTTTTAATTGCATATTATTCTATCATCATTGCTTGCATTTTAGTAGGGGGCAAAGAGTCTCCCTGGGGCGCTCCCCCCTTTATTTTTTAAAAAGCAAAATTTATATCAGAACTGAATTTAAAAGCCACACTTAGCATTCATTTATTTATTCATTTGACAAATATTTATTGAGGGCCAATATGTACCAGATAAGATGTGCAGGTTCCATAGGAGTAAAGTAGATGTAATACATGTGGTGGAGGTGGGGCAGGCACCGGGGGGAGCTTGACACACAGAACATCACAAATGTGTCAGATCTTCTCGAGGCCAGGGGTTGGCCAGCATAACCCCATGACAGGCAGCCTGCAATAGGAGCGGAAGCTGGCATGGAGTACTGAGGGTGGAAGGACCCAGCCAGGAATGCAACCTTCTCCTGTGCTCAGGCACCAGTAGGGTACAGGGAGAGTCCCCTGAGTGGGCTACTGGGCTCCCTCCACGTAGCCAGAAGGAAGTGGGCAAGACAAACCAGGCTGTGTGGCTGTGTGTTCTCAGTTAGCAGAGCTCCTGGCCGCGGGGCCCCACGAATCCAGCCACCACGCGGCCTCTGTAAGCCCGAGATAGCATGCTCAGACAGTGGTGGAAACTAAAGAGCCTGAGAGACTTTGGACGAGTTATGTTCAATGGCCAAGCTTCCCCATGTAGCAGATTGTGAGAATAACGCCAACCTGATAGTGGTGCTGTGGTAAGTAAATGGCATCTCTGCACAGTGGCTGGCACTGTGGATACCCCGCAAGTGTTAGCTGGGCTGTTCATTCATTCTGTCACTCATTTCATTCAACAAGTATCTATCTGATGTGCAAAGCCAGGTAGTGCAGGGATTAGGGGTTGATGGCATGGAAAGAACAAGATAAATCAACCACAATTTGCTCTGAAGGTAAAATTGGCAATCTCTAAGAAAACTGCAATCTAGTAATTGGCACCAGGAGAGTGATTCTTTCCTTGACATGGTGCAATTAATGTCTTAGACCACGAGGTAAATGCTCCTTCAAGGGAGCTTGCATGTTTTAAAGTAATAAGTTGCATTATATGTTAATAACATAATATGCTAATAAATGACAAAAAGCCTTGATTCGGCCCTCTACTTCAGCATTTTTGTACTCTCTCCGTTCCTAATGGCATATTATTGATCTTCTCAAATGAGTCACTCAAATGGGAATGTTAATATAGTTGGGCAAAGATGTATCAATGTCTCCCCAGAGGAAAAATTTCGATGTCTACTACAGCCACACACAACAAAATCGATGAATATTGGAAATATAATGTTAGCCAAGGAAACCAGACATAATAGAATGCATATTATACACGGGAAAAAAGGCAGGCAAAGCCAATTAATAGAGAAGGGACCACAGTGGTTATTCTTGGAAAGCAGGGAGTTATAATGTTAGAAGTGGCCACGAGGAACTTTCTGAGGTACAGGTAACATTTTGTGGGTCAGTTACATGGGTATTTTCTGTTTGTAAAATTCATTGAGTTTTACACTTATCTGTATGTCATAAGAAGTTTCAATAGAGTTTAAAAATTAATAAATTTTTTAAGTTTCTAGACTCTGTGCCCCCTCCAAAAGCACTGATCTTTAAAAAAAAAAAAAAAAGCCCATTATTTAGAGGAATAATATAAAAAACGCTCTCCTATACCAATGCCTTAAAACTCACTCTTCTTGGATTGGTAGACTTGACTTAGATAATTTAATGTACAAATATTGAAGTTTACTCTTTCTTTGGGAAGAGTATCAGAACAGTTTATTTCTAGAAAGGAACTCAGAAATTATTTAACCTCAAATCTTCATTCTACAGATGAAGAAAGAGGCCCAGCATGTTGGGACAGGTCATGGTCATTGGGCTATTCAGCAGACCCCTACACTTTCCACAAGGCCACCGTGCCAGCCTTTTAAGAATATGTCTCTTTATAAATAAAATGTCTTGAGTCCAGTAAGTGAGAGAAATCAACTCATTCACAATGCTATTGTGCAATTCAATTTCTACGAACACATTCATAGGGCAGGACTTAAGTGGTGCACAAGATGTGGTCAACCTTGAATTAGTACACACAGTATACATGTGACTTGGGCCTCTGATCAAAATGAATCATGCCTTTTCACTAAAGAGAATATGTACTGGACTCCCAAATGAAGGTAGGAAAGGCCAGAATGAAGGATGATTCTAGCAGTCATCTTGAAAAAAATTTTGGAGCAAGAGCCTACAGACTAGCACCAGTGAAAAGACTGCTTTCAGTTGTCATGTCTGGAATATGTTTTCTCAAGGCTGAAGATATATTTGCTAATAGAAGAAGTTTCATGGTATTTGAAATAATATAGCTCCCATTGTATTCTGCATAAACTGAGAACATCCTGTTAAATCATAAGGTCTCTGGGATCATTGCTCAAAGAGAGAAATCCATGAGTTTTTAAACCTCTCATTGCACACAAAAGCCGGTTTTCTGTTTTACAGCTGAAAGATTACTTTGTCTTTTGGTGCAGTCCTCGTTAGCTCAGTGCTATCTAGGTCATCTACAAAGATGATTGGAATAGACACTGGTTATTAGCAAAAAAAATTTTTTCTTTGAGACAGAGTTTTACTTGTCATCCTGGGTACAGTGCCCTGGTGCCACAGCTCACAGCAACCTTAAACTCCTGGGCTCAAGCAATCGCTCCCCTTGCCTCAGCCTCCTGAGTAGCTGGGACTACAGGCACCTGCCACAGCGCTCAGCTATTTTTGTTTTTTAAGAGATAGGGTCTCACTCTTGCGCAGGCTGGTCTCAAACTCCTGAGCTCAAGCAACTCCATCTGACTCGGCCTTCCAAAGTGCTAGGATTCCAGGCCTGGCCCTTAGCAAATTTTTAAGGTGCTAAAGATAGCATCAATGACAGAGAAAACTATTTGCTAGCATTTACACAGTAAAATCTAGGCTTTGACACTAGACAACTACTCACCAGAGATTATTTCAAATTCAGGTGTGGACTAGTGGGGTGTAAATGGCAAACTCTAGGTTTGGACAGTACACAGCCTCCATGACTATACACCAGTATGCTGCTTAACCCAGTCCAAAAAAACTGTTTTAGAGCCCTTCAATTTCACAATTATGATCTAATAAATAAATAAATAAATAAAAATGTATAAAATAGTGCATTTATCATAATGGCAGTAAATAATAAATATATCTTTATCTAGCTATCTGTAGAATAATTAAAGAGTAAGATTTAAAAGAGGAAATAGCTTGATATCACTTTAGGGCAGATCTGAGTAAGGAGTTATTCTCTGTTATCTCTGGTTAACTGGCATAATTTAATTATACCACAGCTGCTATGATGTATACAATGATAAATAAGTAACAAGAAGTATAATTGTTCCCTAAGTCTTCCAGAAAACTCTATGCCTTTTAGATATTTACACTGAGTCATGTGTTGGCTAATAAGACTCACAGAAAGGGAAAGTACGAGCAGACAGGGAGGTCCTGACAAGTTCTTAGTGTGGATAAAGCAAGAACAAGTGATAAAGCAATTGATTTGGATTGTTTGACTGTCAAAAAAGTCAGAGAAATAACAAATCAGGATACTGGTAAAGGCGTAAGTAAATTTCCATGTGAACTCTGCTAAAAGACCTTGATATGGCAAATATCTCAGGGGAAACAAAAGTCTTCAGTGTTCCACAAATATGCTGGGTTAAGTTTACTTAGACTAAACCTTCTGCAGAAGATAATTAAAAATCATGAATAAAATGCTAAAAGCATTTTCTTAAACATATCAAATCGCTGACAAGAGAAAAGGAATTGCCAGGCCAAACTCGAAGCCCAAAGCAATAAAGCCACTCATACCTGAGGGTATAGGCCTAATGAGGCCAACTTGAACTTCAGATATGGAATAGGGAAGAAAAGTTGAGAGTCATGAAGCAAAGAAATACAGGGTGCATTTTAAAGAGGAGAAGATGGGGCAGAGCCAATGTTTGAAATTATAATGACTAAATGACCCCAAACCAGTAAACAACACCAATCCTCAGATTCAAGAAGCCCAAAGAATCTCAATCATAAAAAAATAAAAAGTAATCTAAACCTAGTCACCTCATAGTAAAATTGAAGAAAACCAAAGACATGCCTGTAATCCTAGCACTCTAGGAGGCCAAGGTGGGTAGACTGCTTAAGCTCAGGAGTTCAAGACCAGCCTGAGCAAGAGCAAGACACCATCTCTAAAAATAGCCAGGCGGTGTGGCAGAGGCCTATAGTCCCAGCTATTGGGAGGCTGAGGCACGAGGGTCACTTGAGCCCAAGAGTTGAGGTTGCTGTGAGGTTTGATGCCATAGCACTCTACCCAGGGTGACAAAGTTGAGACTCTATTGAAAGAAAGA